ACTTAAGAAGTAGTAAGGATTAAAATTATCTCTCTTAAATATTTTTTTTCAAGTAATCGTACATAACTAATTAAAAAAAAAATTGTTTGAAATCTGGCCGTCTCCTCTGAACTGAGGTAATTTTGTGACCTACAATTTTGGTAACAGTTTCACAAACTAAGGGTTGGAATGTTGACCAGTAAATTTTCTTATTTTTCCTCATGCCTGTAGTTAACTACTTCGAAATTGTTTTCTGTTATAATTAGTTATCCTTAACTAGCTAATAGTTTGTGTTACAGATCCTTTTTTATCAAATTATTAATATCCGGCTAAAACTTTGTAATTAGCTTCATATCATCTTAATATAAAAATATTTTATTTATGAAAATTCTCGGAATTGGAGCGTTTTCAATCCAGAAATTGGCTAATTTTATCCATTTAATTAGGTACTAAAAACACACGAGTACCCATTTGCTTTTCACTTCAATCGTATACATAATATGATTACAAAATCGAAAAAAAAAAATGGCCTACAAAAATATTGGCCATTTGGCATATTCTCTTTATTTCTACATTTTGGGAGGAGATCACGCCAAACGGCCTAATATTTTTGTAGGCCACCTTTTTTTGACTTTGTTAATCATATTATCTTATGATTTAAGTGTAAAAAAAAATGTATATACGTGAGTTTTTATGGTCTAATTAATTAGACAAAGTTTGCTGAGCTCCAGATTGAAAATGCCCCGATGAGATGATTGAGAACGCCCGATATTAGTTAATTCTTCCACTAGATTAATATATAGCGCACAAACATTTGGAGGGCGCAACCATGCCATGTAGGTCACATGCGGCTTCCGAAACCGCGGATCCCACCTATGATCTTGAGAGAATAAACCGAAATAAGAGAATTTTAAGGGATATCTAACTATTCTCATAGAATGGTATATTTTATGAAAAGAGAGAACTTTCGGAAAATTAAAATACGTGGATTTTTTTCGCTTTGAAGCTTGGTGCCATCATAAAATTGAAGCGTAAAGTTTATGTCGTGTAAAAGTGTAAAATAAGAAAATAGTATATTCTATGAGTAACGATACCAAAGTTATGATATTGTATTATTATTTATTGGAAGGGTCACAAAGAATAAAAATGATTAGGCACAGGGGGGCCCATCACCCCCAAGGTCGATGGCGCAAGAAGCTTTCCTCTCCCTTCTCCTAAGATATTTTATTGCGCACCTTTTCATAAAACAGAGCAAGAGAAAGTAGAATTTTAAAAATCGTAGATCATAAACAATTACCCTTGCTGCGGTCTGTTACATGTTTCCCCTTGTCTCTTAGTATAGAACTTTTCATTCCGAAAATTCAAAAACCCGTCAAAATATGCCCCCCTTAAAAAGTTTGATGGCGCAACTTGAGCCATAAAACCCTCTTCTGGCCACCCCAGATTAGGCACGTAGTAGGGAGGAATAGCCAAGGTCACTATAACTATTCACATTAAGTGGCTAGGAGAGGCACTCCAATGAATATCGAATATCAATCAATAACTTCATTCCTCAATCACTTTGCCCACTATTATGGTATGCTATTACTTATTTAGGATGTTAATAAATCTCAACGAATATATGAATTAAATAATATAAATTAATTGATAAGATCAAATCTTATAAGAATAATTAAAAACAAGACCTAGAATTGCAATAAATATAGAAATGATAATATTGTTTAGACAAGATTAAGAATTGGTAACAGTGCCTTTGCACGTGTATACCTGATGAGAGGCCATCAACTACCCTTATGTGATACATGTCATGCAATACCAACACGAAAGCGTATTGTAACGTTATGCACATAACATACTGACATCGGGACAAGACATGGCATATTTGCCTTAATAATGAGGAATTAGGTGACAAGAAAGAAAAAGGGACTAAGATAATCGTGTTTTATGTAGCATTAATAATTTATAGGTTATTTAACTTCGTAAATTATCGTGTATAAATATAAATTCGTAAAAAAATAATCTTTTTTCGATAAGAATTAATATTTAATATAATTTAAATATTTCAGAAATTTAATGTAATAACTAATAATCTTAACCATCCATATATTTAATAGCTTTAATGAGTGGAGGAATACAGTATTAAATATTTCATATAAAAAAATATATTTAATAGGAGAGAAAAATAATAAAAATTGTCATTAGAGTAAAGTTCACTAAAAATAAAATCCATTTTCGATAATAAAGCTTAATATATAATATAATATAGATAATTTAGGGTAACTTCATTGCAAATTGATTTCTGATTTTTACGGATACATTTATGTAAGTGTATTTTAAAAGGCTTGCTCAATTAAAACAATCAAGAAATATATGTATTTCGATTAATGGGTTCATTTATTGTTGGAAGTTCAATCATATTTCATTAATATAGTTTATAAAAATTGGCTAATACGGTGCAAGAATTTATGTAAAAAAATATGAAGTACATGTATATATATATATATATATATATATATATATATATATATATATATATATATACATGCACTTCATATATTATATATATATATATATATTATATATATATATATATATATATTATATATATAATAATACTCTAATAATAGTTAGTGACTAAATAAATTTCATATCCGTTTTCATTTGGGATATCTTTAAAGCATGTACAATATTTAAAGAAATTCTATTAAGTAACATTATCTAATTGGAAGTTACTGAACTGACTTTACAAAATCTTGATAGCTAATGGGTTTTTCAATTGAGCTCTTAGATACTCACAGTTGTGATGAATTTAGTCGTAAGAAATGCCAAAAAACAATTAAATAAAAAAGGTTTTACAAGAAAAAGAAGTCGTGTTTTCAACCTTCTTAGGTGTGATGTCCGGGTTTAGCTGAGAGATTCTAGGGTGTGAAGATGTGTCGCAATGCCAGGAATCTCAGGAGCTTGTAAACTGGATGTCGCTGGAGGCATGTTAATCGGTGTCACTGAGGGAACGGAACCTTGCAACACTAGTAACCGGATTGAGTAACGTTACGCCGTTACTGGCAAATTAACTGGCATTACACCCGGGAACTATAAATAACGCCCACTCTGCTGATAATTAATACCGACCCAGCTACGGACAAATTAAAAAGGATCCGATATTATTAGTTATTGAGCCGACTATCTCATTGACAACTGGGTATTACCCTAATCGCCCAACGGTTTACTGCCGCTTCGGCTAATAACTCAAACCAGTAATCGGGAGTGTGTCAGGGAGGAGATCTCGTCCGCTTGGGATAAATCCGAGTGGCGCCTTGATTAGGGTTGAGTTTCAGGATCTAAAAATAATGTCATTTCATCAAGACGTTAAAAAAAACGCTACGGTTTACCTATATGCTTAACACTGCATAGAAGTGAAAAATCAAATCGGAGTTAATAATATGCAATATAATTTTTTAAGTGCGAACTTCTTGAGGCGTGTTTTGTACTTTTTTTGTAGAGGCTGAATTAGATTGAACCGTCATATCTCGGATGTGTAATGTTTAGGCAAAGTCGACTGGAGTCGACTAATTGAAGTGTTTTTGCATATGGATTAAAATATCTCAAAAAGTAAAAATCGGACCTACATATTGTTGACCTGTTCATCATGTTCATCATTTCATCCTCTTTGCATATAATGAGCTGTTATTAAAAATTATATCTCAACGCCGAGTTAGAGAGGTGAAAAGAGAAAAATAGTGTTAAAAACCAAATGATAACTAGTTTTATGGAATATATGGATTAAAATATCCCAGAAACTGAAAATTGGACCTGCATACTGTAAGCGAGGAAAATGTTCAGCATATGATCCTCTTTATAATGGGCTATTACAATATTTAAACTTTATATTTCATTCTTTCTTGTTGATGTTTTCACTGCTATCGCGCGGTCTAAAGAACACAACTAATTTTTTTTTCGTCTGTATTCACAAAGTAATAACATTAACAATACATTACAATTTTTTTTTTATTGTGGTAATACCTCTACCTCGAAGGGTCTTGAGGACTTCAAGGACCATTTATTCTGTTTTAGACAACAATACAATTAACTTGGATTGAATTAAGAATATTTTTATAAAAACATTAACTATATATATATTTCAGTGTACCATCAATGTTATCCATTAAAGCGTAAAACCTACAGTTGTCGACACTCCAGATCTAGAAGAATATAAAGCGTTGGAAATGGTTTAGATCTGGCGAAAGCTGCTTTAAGGTTAAAGTGAAAACTCCTCATGCTCTCGCATATTCTAGCACCTCCTACTATTTATTTAGTATTATAGGTCGAAAAAAGTTAGAAACTCGACATGTGTCGCCTAGTAAGAACGTATCTTACGTTTTTGGCAAGAAACATGTCATTCCTGCACAATTCCTTCATTCTGAAGGCTGTCAGATTTAATACGTTCAGGGTTTCCGATAAGTGGAAACATCGTGACGAAAACTGGCGGATACGGATATTTTTAATTTTTTCAGTTTTACTTTAAAAAATAAATGATGACACGGTTTCACATACATACTTTGAAATCAGAGATCTTTATTGACTAAACAGAACTGAACTTGTTGAACCAAGTGCCCGATTGAAACTAGGACATTTTTTAAGGGTTTTACGAAGAAAATTGGGATTTTACCCTATACAATAATAAAACAAATTCAATATCCATCTCTTTTTTATTTTAATGCATATATAACATTTGGTCAATATTTAATTTTTTTTTTAAATTCAACGTAACATTTCATAGTCCATTTGTTATCTGGGATTGAACTTTGTAAAAATCTTATTTAGCTATCACCCCCTCTACCTTATATTTATTTATTTCTTCTTAATTAAGAACTATTGTTTATTGATTGGCAGGACTGATGGTATTAGTTTTTTTTTTTATGATATTCAATTGATGAGAAATATTTGTTAATTAACCTTTTGAAACTATAATACTATTTAATACGTATGTATATATGTATATATATAATGATTGTGGCCTGTACCTATTTTACCTGGACATGTTGGACAGCAGGTGCCCTCGGCAGGCTTGAGGGGGCTGTGGCAGGGGGCGTAGCATTGCTCCACGGTCTCGGTGACCACCCCGGCCTGGCAGACGTACAGCCTGCAAGGCTCGTCCGGGTCCCTCCACTCTTCTCCGCTCTGCCGTTCTATACCCTCGTGAGTGCATCCTTAGCAACAAATAAATAAAGATTAACAAGTCTGACAATTTTTTTATAAATATAAACATTACATGTAATTCGCTATAAAAAAAAAAAAAATAAAAAAATAAATAAATTGTATTTTGAGAAAAAGTTGGTCGGGATACGGTCAATATATGAGCCTTTCAGTTGACAGAATGACTAACTCCAATTTCAACATTTTTGAGTAAAGCCATTTTAGTGATATTTATAGTTAGAAAATTTATAATATCTGTACAGACAATGAGTAAGTTGATTCCAGATTGCAGTGTTGAAATATAGAACTGTGCATACTGGTATACTAGAAATATCACTCAAATGTTGAAATTTGAGTTAGTCATTCTGTCAACTGAAAGACCCATATAATATTGTATATTATAATAGTACTTTATTGTGCTAGACAACGTTTCGACCTAAGTTGCAGTTTTGCATCAGGGATAAAAAGCGATATAAATGATAAATATTAATCAGTACAAGGTAAAAAATAATAAATAAAATATCAGTAGATATTAAACTAGTACAGGTTACCAGATAAACAGCTTGAAGAACTTAACATAAGAAGAAGATGACATAATTGTTGAAATGAATTATAGCATAATTCACTTTAATGCTTCAATGCTTAACAATTCAAATACAATACACTTTAATGATATAATGCACTTTTATTCAACACTTTTGTTGTGTTATTTCTTCCATTTCTTTATCTGGTGACCTGTACAAGTTTAATATCTCCTGATATTTTATTTATTATTTTTTTATCTTGTACCAATTAATATTTATAGTTTGTTTCGTTTTTTAAACCTGATGAAGACAATGTAGGTCGAAACTTTGCAAACAGAATTAAATACTATTAAAATATATAGTGTTATATATTGACTGCACCCCGACGAGCTTCTTCTCAAATCATAATTACTGTCAATATCTTTAAAATACACTTTTGTTTTAGAAATATTTTTAGCCGCAGGATATAATATCTTTTACAATTTCAGATAAATTCTTTATTTCAACCCTTGAATTAATTAAACTCAACTTAAAGACGAATCGTGCTAAAAAAATAATATATAACTGATATTTATTGTTCCATCGTCTTTAGTTTTATTAATATTATCTCATACGATCTTTTTTTTTTTATTTATATATTACAATAAATGCTAATGTATGTATTGATCCTTTGACCATTAACAGTATATGACAAAAATCCAGTGTCACTCCAACCAATGGATGGTCATGGATCCAGTACTTTTTAAGGAAGTACTTACTGTATAAGACAAACCTTACTGTAAAGGGATGTATTTAGTCCGAGATCACATTAAACCACCAGTTTTTCCGCTTAATTAATCATTTAATAAAGAATAGTCAATTTATAAAGGCTGGGTGTCTCTCAGAAGGCTCTCCCGATCCTATGGTCGATCCGCGGCTGATGTTACAGAATTAATAATTCCATGCCACTGCGAGACTCGGACCTGGGACCTTGAGCAAAGAAAACTTGAGACTGATTGTGATGAATACACTATAATAACTATAGTTCACAAACAGTGAGAAAATGGATTAATATAAGTAAATAAGAAGAATGATACTGGTTCTCCAAGGAGAGATAATAATGAGCCGACCTGAAATGGACCCTGATTGGGTAGCTAAGGACAAGATAGCCACTGACCCTAATCAATAGGAAACCCAGGAAGGCTCAATTAAAGCTATTCTGGGACAATGCTGTCTCCAGCCAATCCCAGTTCATCGATCCCTTCATCTTAAGTTATTGTTCAACTCTATCAACATTGGCTTTCATTACCCTCAGGGGTTCAACAGTGTTTGAACACTCCGTTGGTAAAGATCTACCGTCTAGCCTGAGGATGAGGAGTAGCAGTTGAATGATGATAGCTCACAATATACAAATACATTTACATTTCTTATTTAGCCTTTTTTATATTTCACGATCTGAAAACAAGAGGGTGTTGTTGATACATAAATGAATTTCCGAGTACTACAATCAGTATTTGGCAAGAAGTTACAGGAAGTTGTGCGGAATTAAAAAGTCTCTACCCGAGTAAGGATTATAAAAAAGTCTAATCAAGGCGGAAAATGAACAAAAAGACAATTCATTTCGTACTGGTGCTATTATCTGTATTAAAATACACATTTTTTTCTCTCCCCTTACTCTTCTTTTAGGCTAGTCGGAGTTTCCCGGACCAGGGGGGTGGGAGGGGGAGAGGAATGTCGGGGGGCCAATGGCAGAGTTTCTACAGTTCCACGGTGACCTTAATGAACGGCCAACTATCGGAAATAGGCCAGCGTATAGCAATCGCAAACAGACCTTTGTTCTCTCTTTCAAATGTATTGAAATCCCGGAAAAACCTCAAGCTATTTCAAATTAAGAGAGTACAATGCTATGATAAAACTAGTTATAATATGGCTATGAGACCTGATCACTAACATGCGCCATAGGAAAAAATATTGAATGATTTGAGAGAAAAACCTTCCGAACGATAACCGGAGCGAGATTGGAGAGCTAACACATGGAGAAGAAATACTTATAAAGAGCTACTGACAGTAACTGGTCAATCAATATATTATTAAATAAATGCACGGAGGTTAAGATGGGCGGGGCATGTAGCTCGGAGCAATCCATCTGGATGCCTTACATAACAATGAAGCTTCATTAGAAGGCAAAATACCACGTGGTAGGCCAAAAAGCCAATCGATCGATAGAATCAACAAAGATGCAATAGAAATGTATGTAGATAACTGAAAAGAAATCGCCCAAGATATGTAAAGATGGAGTAGGCTTGTTCAGGCGGCAAAAGATCTAAATGTCAAAAAAAAAAATTTTTAATAATATCTTTTTCATTCATACATCATTGAGATATATTAAAACAAGATCGAACTAAAACATCAAAATTTACCCATGTTCTTACATTCAAGTTTATATTACAAAAGAGGTAATTCTCCAAACGGAACCGTAATCCATCTTTGCGAGTATTGCAGAGACATGCGGTCCACCAGCTTAAGACCCGACGACTCCTGGGAACGTTTGAAGAAGGTTTGGAACAATTAGTCGAATCCCAGGTTCGGAAATGAGCTTAGTGGAGTGGTTCACTAAGGCGCTTGCAGGCTTACCATTAGTGAAGTCCCCGATGGCTCCAGTTCAAAGTGTTCTTTACAACTACTTAGGGCCAACGACCACGCAAAATATCAATGCTATGCCCCTACTAAGAAGATTTTCCCATTTGAAATTTAATTCTGACTAAATACGGCTTCATAATAAAATACAATATTAAAATGAGTATAAAACTGTCAGAACCAGTTTGATTCATATATAAATATATGCATTTTTTTTTTTTATTTATTTACAAAATGTTTTTATTATTTTTTACAAGTTGAAAAAAGTGTCAAATAAAATGGAAAAATTTCTTTAAGCTCATCCTGTTGCTACCACACCAATGTTTCAGATAGAACAAAATCATATCAGGTTTTGGAGGTAATCTTTATAATTTTTTAAAATGGCTGGTCTTGAACTAGTTGTTTCATTTGTTATTTTACAAAATAAGAAAGAAAAGAAAAGTTTTATTCTGAAGCTATTCCTATGTCAGAATAATTATACATATTTTACGGTCTTAACATTACTTCTTTAATTCTTATTTTCTCCTCACTCTTCGTCCACATGTCTGATTTAAATGTTATTTAAAAAAAAAAAATGTAAACTACTGTTCAATATAGAACCGATAATGTATTGTTTATGTTATTCTATATGCTAAAGAGGAGGGAAATGTATCACCGAAAAACTCAAATAAAAATAATTTTAAACACTTTAAATTATAAGTGTTTCTTTTGTTAAATTACAGACAAGAATAACAATTGAATGTTAAGCTGTTTCAATAATAAACTAATAGTAAACAACAAGAAAACTGAACTGATTATAATAAATAAAAATTAAAATATTATTAATAATAAAAAAAAAATGGTTTATTAATACAAAAGTAATCAAATATATTTTAAACAGTAATACGAAATTAAACTAAAATAAAATACGATTAAATTCGATAAATGATAATATTTGATACTACAGTGCATAAATAATGGATATAAACTTATTAATAAAATAATAACATATTAGTATGGTAAGGATTTCCAAAGTTAGATGCTGGACGGAATTTGAATGCTCAATTATCAAAGGGTTGGTAGAGATGAGAGGAGATCTGGTCTAAAAAGAATTCAGACATGAATTTTGAATTAAAGTTTCAGTAATAAAGGAAATGGTTTTGGAGGAAACATCATCATTAAAAGAAAGAGCCAAGACACTTTTATCGGCAAACGTGGACAACCGTTTCAACTCGATTTAGTTGTGAGAGAATGGTAAAGTGAGCAACCTTTAGAAAAAAACTAATCGTTGGAAGAATTAAATTAAACGTTAAACGATGAAAATGAAGTGTATGCTATAATAATGACGGTCAATAATCATCAGTCTTATTATATATTATTGTAACTTATTTAACAACATTTATATTGTAAGATGGTGTCCGGTAAACAGGAGTTGGATCAGAAAAATAATTTTGATTATCAAAAATGTCAACGTTACCATTTTTAACCTAAAAAACATTTTAGATATAATAATTAAGATATATTAAAACCCGACAAAGAACACAGGGAAAATTATTTGTTTTTTAAATAGAAAGAGTTAAGATTAATCATACGTCGTGTCTTTAGCTTGCATGACAATTACAAAATTATGTCATGAATACTCTCCTTATCTCGTTTTTACATCTGACAGCGTTTCAGACCACCTCACCCATTTTCAAGTCTTAGAATTATATATATATATATAGTAACCCTGAACAAAATATAGTTTGTTATCTTTGTTTGACTTGTATCATATTCCAAAATGCATGGAAAAAATTAAGAACTGGCCAACACATATTATACATTTTATTTTAAAAAAAATCTTATATTACTTACAATATTTATATACTTATAATAGTGATTGTTAAAAAAATTTATTTTATTGTGAATGTACTGATAAACTTTTATATAGTATTATTAATATTATAGATTTGATTCTAAGACTTCAAAATGGGTGAAGTGGCCCTAAAAGAGCAATAAAGTGTTGTGAAGTAAAAAAGGATTTTTGATGTGTTCCTCGAAATAATAAATTTATATTGAAAAAAAATAATAATTTAGTACAGGACAGGTTTATACTATAATATAATTTATCAGGTATAGTCAGAACGTCTAAGTTGGAGTCTGTATGAGGCAGAAAATTTATTTGTTCTCGTATTTGCTGTGGATTAACTCGTGGCTCATGACATCATAAACCATGAAATATCAACTTTACTCTCAGCTTACAGTATTTCCAATTGAATTCCATTCACTTTAAAATCGATCTATATATTCGACCGATGGTAACTACTAACCTGTTTATTTTATAAAATATATAATAAATTACTCACAAGTGCTCGAAGAAGACCCTGGAAGGAAGAGAATAGTCCGAGTTTTATATGGTTTGTATAAAAGGGATATTATGATGGCAGTTATGAAAAGCGATTTAGTCTAATACCCTCGAAGGCTAAACAAAAAGTTGTTACCGCCTAAGCTATATTGCCTTTAATGGCCAAGGCTCCGCCTCTTTCTGATGGGAGTTTGCCCAACTTACTACAACTTTAGCCATCAAAAGTAGACAGCTACAGGATTTGAGCACATCAAGAACTTAATATCCGAACGCTCTTCCTCAAAACTTTAATTAAGAAGTCCAAAAAAGAATAAGAAAAAAAGTAGAATAGCGATGGTTTTGGAAGAGAAATATAAAAATGTACATTTCCATTATTTATTCTTAAAAAAAAAAAAACTGAAATTTGCTAAAGTTATCCTTTGTAATAATCAACCGAAAAAGAAGTGAAACTTATCAAATAGAATCCACCATGGCTTTCTTGTAGACATCACTTTTGATCGACGTCTCCGTTTTTTAAAAAATATTTTAAGGCTTCAACCACTTTGGTCATTATCGCCTTATTTTCACTGAGAATTATATTTTATTTTCAAGCTTAGAACTTTTCAGAAAAGAAAATAGTTTATCAACCCCATTCGTATTGTCCTGCAAAATGGAGTGTAAATCGTTTGTCAAGTCACAAGAGTAAGTTCAAATGTTTCGTAAGCTCTGCATTCTGTTAAAATGTGTTTCACCGGCAGAGGAGTCCCACAGTTTGGCATGGTGGCGAAGAATCACCTATACGCAGGCGCGCAAGAATTACTTCCTCTCTACGGTTATTCCTATTTGACGATGTCCAAGAGGAAACGTCAGCCTTAACCTCCCTTAATTTATTTTGGGTTACATTCGACCATATCTGTTCCCATTTTGTCTTCATTTTCTGTTTGATGACGGTTATAAAATCCTCTACAGGTACTCCCCGGACGCCTCTGTTTATAAAAGGCAACAGGACATCAAACAATAATACTTTGAACTATTATTTTCGAAGTATGGTTTATTTTGGAAAAGAAAAAAATACCGCAATCCTATCTAATAATTATTGGGTTTTATATGTGATGGCATTTCCATATTTTAAATTAATTCTAATCTTAAAATCCAGGAGTTCTGCTAGGTCGGTCCATATATACAGTAAGAAAACTGTAACGAAGCAATAAGAAAACATAACTTTGTGGTATCAATCTCATTTTAAATTTTATTTATTTTATTTCTTGTCAATTGGTACGTGCATAAACTATAACTAAGACCTTTTGAACATAAATACCGTTTTACTTCCTATAAACTGATTTTTGGAATGGATTTAAACGGTAAAGACATACATATTTCTCAATTTATGATTAAAATAAACAATGATAGTAAAATATATAACATAATATTAAAAACAATGAATTAAATTTTATATTCACCTTTGCACTTCTTGCAACACTCGCCTGATGGAGGACCTAAAAGCATATGGCAGCCTTCTTGGCTCGGGCATTCCTGCTCGCACTCAACGTAACCGTTCTAAAAACAGAAAAAGAATAATATATATTCAATTATTATAAAAAATAAAATAAATTTTTTATATATACAATATAATACAAATAAAATGTGATACATTTATTGGTAAAAAATAAAATAAAGAAAAAAACAATACTTTTGACAATAAAATAAAATATAAAGACTATTTTACAGCAGAACGTAAATGTAGTTTACATGTTTATAATAGAGATAATACTTCCTATTTATAAACTATAAATATAATAAGTTTCTTTAAAGTACAAAGCAATTATTTCAAATTATCTTCATTATATTATCAGTATGTAGGCGGCACAAAATTACCGAACTATTGTAAAAAATATAATAATGTTTTATTAACTCTTATGCAGCTGTCACATCAGAACATGTCAGAAATGGGAAGAAAATTAGATTAATCTTCTTGGGTGGTGATATGATAAGTAATACATTCAAGATTTTTATATTAGTAAAGGTAAATATTAGCTTTGGTGTTGTTCTAGTTTAAATGGATTGCAATCAATTGCCTGGACGGTGTCGCTCAATGGAAAACTAATGGAGTACCTGAATGAAATAATACAAACTCTAGAAAATGCAGCTGAAAGTGCGGTGTTGTATCACCTCATTAATATGTGAACGGCAGAGGACTTCTGGAGAAAGCCACATCTAGGAAAACAAACATTTCTCTACGCAGGTTTTTTTTTAAGTTTAGTATCACACCATTGTCAGATTTTTAAAAAATATATAAAATCTAGGAATAGCATTATTTATTTGAATGCCAAATAACTGATATTTATTCATTTAAAAAAAAATATATATGGAAAATTAACCAACCACTCTGAGCCATGGAAGTCTGAAAATAAATTTTAATAGATTACAAACAAAACTGGAAATTGCGATAATTCTAATAAGTGAACAAACTATTCTTTCAAAACTAAAAAATAATTATATATATATATATAAACGACATTATTCACAACACTGTAAGGTCATATGGCATAACCCAATCCTCCCAAGCAATTTCTTATTGTAATAACAGTTTTCCTTCCGAAGTCCCCTTGCTGCTAAAGGCTCATGTAAACTTTCCAACCATCTCTTTTCCGGGCGATCTCTCTTCCTCCTTTCCAATCGTACATGCTGAAGTATTCTTTTAGACCCACCAGTCGTTCGTCATTCTCATTATATTCCCAAACCAACTCAGCTTTTTTGTCTCAATGGAGTACAGGATGTTGAGGTATTCGTTCACTTTATCCCTAATGGTATTATTTGGAACATGTTGTAGTTTTGATATTCTACAGCTAATATTGATATTCTCCAAAAATCCTCCTCCATTGATAACAATTTTCTTGCTGAGTCGCTTGAAATCGTCCAGGTTTCTGAGGCATATAATACAGTGCTTACCACAAAGGAATGGTATATTTTCTTTTCTCGGTTGGAGCATGACTCCTTCATTCCATAAAAGAGAATTTAAAGGGCGTATGACCTTTCTTCCTCTGATGACTTTTTAATCAATATCTTTCTTGCTATTGCTCCCTACCGCAAGCCACCTGCCTAAATATTTAAATTGCTCAGTTGGGGCCAAATCCCATTCGCCAACATTTAGTGAGGAGTTTCCATTATTATTGAATGTCATATATTCACTTTTTTTTTCCTGATTTCCAGGCCACCTTCTATATAAGCTTTTAACAACTTCCTCATTATAAAGGAAGTATCTTCTTCGTCATTCGCAATAATGATCTTGTCATCGGCAAATTGTAAACTGTACAGGAATTCATTATCTATGGTCATCTCTATACCATTACACTTTCTCTTATCACAGTTTCTCTTTACACCTCTTGATCTAATAAATAATTCACTTTATAAAAAAAAAAAAATAAAAAAAAGTTAGATGATGGAAATCTTGATTAATTTTTCGTTCCTTGCAAGCTTCTGGGTAAATGTAAAAAGGGGCCAATTATATATTTTTTTTCATTAAATATATAGAACATAAGTTTAGAATGATAAATTTTACTAAACATTATTGATATAAATTATCAATTCAAATTATATGCTAAATAAGCACGAATGTATTTCTCAATAATTCATACGCTTTTGATTGAGTGTTGAATAAGGTTATGTTTAAAACATTTTTAGCCTTCCCAAATGGCTACGTGTAACTATAATGAATAATGATAAAATGATTCAATTTATATTTACATACGGTTTTTGAATGGTTCAGTATTGCATTACACATTTAAAAATTTTTATTTGAAGAAAGATATTTCTGAGAGTTTAATTATTTGAATTTAATTAAATTAAGTGAATGTGTTTAATAGAGGAAATATTATTATTTAAATTTTGATTAGTTTTTACTAGGTCAATTGAAGAATCCACATAAAGTTGAAAATAAAATAAAATGAAAAAATCAAAACAAACAACCATACAGAATGTAATAACGATAATGCTACACAATATTTAATATTTTAAAAATATTACAAACTAGTCTATTCATCTTTATTTTATATGTTTGCTGACTTTCCCTAAGAAAGAACAATTCTGAAATGCACAATTGACATCCCTATCATTCTAGTTACATGTTACGAGCAATAATAAATATTACAAAAAAGGATGAAAATGGTTCCTAAAATATAACTAGAAAAATATAATTTTTTTTTGTAGACTTTTCTTAACTTATTTAATTAAGTTCACGGAAGAAGTAATTAATAGGAGAAATGAACAAATAGTGAAGCAGATAGAGCCAGAACAATAGACAATAAATCAGGTTGGACCAGAGGAAAGGATCGCTAGTGGCTACCTGTTGCATTAAAATCTCCCACGGTCCAGGTGTTACTATTCATATTCACTGAATTTTATTCGGAAAGTTGTATCCAGCAGCTCTGTAGTTTTTTTTTGTTTTGCATCGGGATAGTGAAAAGAGTGTTAGAAACTCTTCCATAGAAAGTAAAACTAAAATTACGATTTTTTATTTCACCACCAAGCAATTCAAGCCCAGCTCTAAAAAGTGATCAGTCATAAGTCATGATAAATTATACTACATCATAGGATATAATTTATTATATTGTTTATTTGATTAAATAAATGACTAGTAATTTTCTGCTTCGTTAACCTTTAGCCATTATTAACTCAAACAAAACAGTCATTAATCAAATAATGGGATTTTGAAGACAACTATCAATCAATGACGGGTCAAAGATTTATTTTTTCCTAACCGCAGATATTTCGTAGTTTGTTATTATTATGGGTAGCTCTAATTTACAGTTGTTAATAAAGCTCTAATATTTTTGTCAGAATTTTATTTATATAATAAACCAGGGATTCGATTGTCAATTTTTGTTTTTGCTCTGAGATTTTAGAAAAATCCCCTTTTTTCCAGGAATTTATTTTTTTTCAAGTATTAAAGCCGTAATTTTATTTTTATAATGAACTTTCTAAGTTGGTTGTGCCCTTCACGATCTTGTTCTTTTATTAGTTTAGGAATATTGAGTGACAACAACTCGATATATTTCCTCCTCTCTTTGCTAAAACGCTTACAAGATAATTACATTTTTCACCTAACTTCTTTCCAAATAGAGGCAAACCAAAGTTTTAAAGGGCTTTTTGGGCGAATTAAATAGTGGTCTCTCCCATTGCTTTGAGACTCCCAATCATATAAATTCTGCCATTCGTTGACGATTGTTTTATTTATTGAACGGGAAATGTTTTCGGAAAGTTAGAATTAATTCTCATTGCAATGGTAGTATCTTGAGTAGTCAAATATTAAATTAAAAAAAAAGGAAGAAAAATAATGAAATATATATATATTTTTAAAACCATAGTAAGTGCGAGAACCGTCTTTATAAGTATTACAAACAAATACACTGTTATACGTCTCTTTATTTTTAATTTAGCAGGAACCATACATCCGCCCGTGAAAAGACTCCCAAGAATAACAATGATGAATTAATAAAAGAGAAAATCAAAACTAACTTATAAAAATTCTAACATTACATACATTAATTTAAAAAATAGCATGTAATCACTAAAAAATGAACATAAAATCTTCTCAAATTTTATTTCATCATCATATTTATATGATTTAATCACTGAAAATTTTTTTTTCGACATCAAATATTTATCCGTATCTATCGCGAGAGTGAAAAACAGTAAAACCTCAATTTCACGCTCTTCTTTTTTTTTTTTTCAACTATCTTATTTTATATTATTTATTCCAGGATTAATAGATTTTTTTTTCGAAATGTTAGGTGGTCTTAAACTTCTGACAGAGGGCGTATTCCAAATCTACGATGGGTACAAAAAAATAAACTATATTGTCTGTAAATTTAATTAAACATACATACTTCTTAATATCCTGGGCTCATTGCAATCTTTTATTTGCTTCAATAATGGTCGACGGAGATCATGATCATTTCTTGCATTCTCTGATACTTATTGTTTCTTAATTTATATAAAAAAGACCACTATGATTGATATAGTATGTTTATGTTGTTTTTATATAAAAATATATTATTAATGTTTTTGTCAAATCATATCGTAAAACATGAAGATACCTGAAGTATGAAAAACACTTAATAGGTTCGATGAAATATAAATTAACGTTGTATCAACTATAATTAAACGAATATAACTAACTATAAACTGAGATTTTAAATAGTAAATAAAGATAAGTTCAATTTACAATATATATTTTTTATAAGTCATGCTTTTTTAGACCTTGATAAATCTTGATTAAAACTTAACCACTGAATAGAGTCATAATTCAGAACAGATGGATTGTTTTGATCTTACAAGTTTTGATAAGAAGAAATAGAAGTCTGCAAACACAAATGTTTGGGATAAAAAGTCAAATATCGGATGGATACACAGCAAACTCCCACTCGTTCTAAATCTGAAGGATCAGATACATCCAATAAATTAGATGAAGCCAACTGTAGTTGGTCACTTGGGGTTCAAAGAGTCTTCACAAACTAGAGACAGCTGCTGGGTTTATTTTTAATCTTGTATTTTTTCCTTACAGTCATTTT